AACAGTCTATATACAGTTCTGCGCTTTGACTTTATACGGTCCAAGTGCAGAACTTTATTTAGTTGGTGCACTAAAGTGTGCAGAGCTAGGGTTATTTTTTGGGGCGTGAGGAGGTTGCAAAATTAATGCGTAACATTGGGAGGGGGGGGGGGGAAGGAGAGGTCAATAAATGTTACGATGAGTTACGAGGGGTGGAGGGAAGGGTAGGGAGAGGGAGGGGGATTTGAAGAAGATTGAAAAATGTTAAAAATTGCGTGACGTAATTTATGGACGACCCGTTATCACTCTCATAAAATAATAAAGAAACAAAGAGTGTGAATTGTAGTCCAATTGAAAGAATAAAATTCATAACATAGCAAAAAAATATTAAATCCTACTTTTTTCTTCAACAAATTAACAACCGAAATATTTTTTAACAACCGAAATATTTGCATTTATTAACAACCGAAATATTTGCATTTTTTAACAACCAAAATATTTTCATTTATTAACAACCGAAATATTTTCATTTATTAACAACCGAAATATTTTCATTTATTTCTTCAATTCTGAAAACAAAAACTAACGTCGAGTTAACAGATGATGCACATTGAACTAAACAAAAAGGATTTAATGCTTCTGTTTTTAATTTTTTTGTGTATATAACAGACTTGTCTTTAAAATTTAGGTATATTTTAATTTTCAATCAAGAATTACTTTTATCATGCAAACCGGTAGAGCTAGACAATCCTGTAATAATTAAGTTTTGTTTTCTTTTGGCTTACTTACCTTAATTACCTTAGTTACCTTCTATTTTCTGTGAGTTAAGGATTCTGCTTTTGGTGGTCTTTCTGGTGTGTCTGTTAAAACTCTTGACTTTCCTTTTTTTCTGCTTCTTGATTTTTTCTTTCTTGGAGGTGCTATTGGGTATTGTCTAATCATCTCAGGAGATTTAACTAGTACAGAGGACTGTAAATTTTCAATAAAAACTTGTAACAGCTAATCAGTTTTGTTTTTATATAAATTAAGTGACTCACTGTTCAACATAGCCGCTTAAAAAGAAGTATTTACTACAGAATAATCACTAACTTTTGAAAATTTAAAACCTATAGAGCTTTCTTTACTATTATCATTATTAGATTGAAAAGAGATGTCATTATGGCTGTTGTTTGTTACCTCTGAACAGCTAAAAGCTTCATCTGTAAATGCATTTCTTGAAAAGTGAAAAATACGACATTTTTTGAACCCTGCTGTAATATTATTAAAGTTAACCCATAACTTTTTTTTGATGATTTCAACATATAATTTTGTAAAATAGCTTCCTCTGCATTAGTAAATGTTTGATTTACACAATATTTGGTAGAAAAGTTATCAACCTTTGATATTCTACTATTTCAGAGCATTTTTATTCTGCAGATAAGCATACTTTTAGAGAACACAAATGCACCAGCAGCCTCTCTTACTTTCATTGTTTTATCAAAAACATTTTTTACTACAGTTTTTAAATTTCTTTTGTTTATTAATCTTTCACATTTCTTTTTATAACTGCGCACCACTTTTTATAATTGCGCACCACTTTTTATAACTGCGCATCACTTTTTATAACTGCGCACCACTTTTTATAACTGCGCATCACCTTTTATAACTGTGCACCACTTTTTATAACTGCGCACCACTTTTTATAACTGCGCACCACTTTTTATAACTGCGCATCACTTTTTATAACTGCGTATCACTTTTTATAACTGCGCACCACTTTTTATAACTGCGCACCACTTTTTTTAACTGCGCACCACTTTTAAACTTGATCTAATTTTATTTGGTGATAAGTTACGCACAGCTCAGACGTCACAACTTTTCCTAATTTGCCCCAGTAAAATTGTCCAATGCTGCCTCAACCCTGATCTAAGGAAACATTTCACAAAATTTTTGTGAACAATTTATTTTTTATCGTTGAATTTTTTTAAATTTACGTTGCAGATCATATCCCTTTCGCTGAAAATGTAAAGAAAAAATCATTGGGGAATGTAGGTTTGATTTACAGAGAGCTTCTCTACGTTTTTGATCATAAAACTTTTGTAGGGAAGCTCTCTAACTGCCTTCATGAAAAAAATCTTATGATGCTTATGTGTGAAATTATTACAAATCGACTTATATATTTAATTTGGTTAGTTAGTATTTTTTAAATATTTCGCATTTTCCAAAACTACTTCTGTCCTTAACTGCCTCCTTCTCCCCTATGTATGCCAGAAAAGTTAGCAAAAAAGTCTGTTTTATGTTCTTTGTGTTTCAAGCAAATGGTTCAGAAGTTGATTTCAACTTAATGATCATATTTATTTCTAATTATTTTTACCACATTTATTCAGCTTTATGGTGGTCATGCAACTAGAATTATTTTTTTTGGGTCTGTTTTGTACATTACAGGTTTCAAAGCAAAAAATTTTTTTTTTCAAATTAAACAATGAGATCATATATATTATATATAAACAAGTTAAAACATGAAATTTAATTAGTTAAAATTCTCATAGAGCTGTAGATGGAAGCCGCTTTTTTAAGCTTCAACCTGTGTTAATTCGTTTTTATTTGTCTCTGCAACATCATAGCGTTCCAATTTTTTTGTTTAATTTTTATGATTAGCCTCGGATGTTTGCTCTGAAAAAAGTTCAAGAGGATTCTGATTTCTCTTAAAAAAACCAATAAGGTGACATTTGATAATGTGGAACTTCCATCCACGTGGTAATGCTTTGTCAAACATATCTTTACAATAGTATTTTAAATATTCAGCAGATTCAATAAACTGCAAGATATTGTTAATGTATATAGACTTTGCAGCATGCCAAAAAATATACAGTACAGTAAAAACATATTTTCCACAATGACTTTATAATAAATTGTTTTGTTGTTCTGAGATTTAATGTTTTAGTAGATACTAAGCAAAATTTTTTACTAATGTGTAAGTATGGTTATGAGCTTTAGGTCAGAAGCGACAAAAAATTTGAGCCGATTTAGCTTTATTAATTTATTATCCATTCCAAGATAATGGTTATTCTCCTTAACATTACTTGCCAAAGGAGAGAGACTTTTATAGGATCTAATACACATATGAAGGATATTTTTTGAACAAGTCTGGTGATATTTTCTATGTATACAACATCTTTTAATACTGAATTTTCAAGTTTATTTTCCTTTCCATTAAGAAAATAATATATCATAACCGTAGCAATTGAATTCTTTTCAACACCTAGTTTTAAAATACCATATTGTTAATAGCGTGAGTTGTATTGACTATTATAAATTTTTTGAAAATAAATAAACTAATATACGGCCGTTTAATATATATTATAAAATATTTAAACACTAAGACAACCGAGATGTTTTTACAAAAATTGTATCAGTAAACTACTTTATATGTTTATTTATTTGGAGCTTAGTTTGGGTTCTACAAGTAGCAGTGATTCTCCTAAAATTAGAGAAGAGTATTGCAGCAAGTCATTATAGATAAATAAACCAATAAATAAAAATCTAAAAGTGGATAATTGTAACAAAATTTCAGCCTTTACTAGAAACTTAAAAAAAGTTGAGATTATTTGATCTGACAACTTTTTATTGTTGGAAAAAACAAAATTCTTAGCATTTTGAACAGAAGATGTTCTCGTGCATGGGTTCCTAATGCTCTTTCCATCTAGTTGAAAACAATATCTTCAGAATAAGTTTAAACTTTTAATACAGAAACTTTCATTTGATTCAATGAAATAATCTCCTAAATTAAAAAAACTTGAGGTTGTGCTTGTCTGATGTCATACAACATATTGGGCATAAGCATTTATTGTCAGTTGAAGTAAGTCTTCCAATCTTTATAAGTAACAATCTTCCACTTTTCCAAATCTCTTCAATCGTTTTTATAAGTTTTTTTTCTGTGAACAAGATTATTTGTATTTTTAGTAAAATTATTTAAATAAAACTTAATAAACTAATAAAATATTTATAAAATACAATAACGTTTTTGGCAAAGAGAATATTATGCAACGGCAACAAAGTCCAGTCGGAAATGCATTTATATCAAAACTGAACCCTTTGTGTACATTGTCTTGAACTATTGCCAACAATGATGGCATAATACAAAGAGAGTAGTTATCCGTTTTGTTATAGCAATAAAAACATACTGAATCAATGGATTCATTTTCCTTAAAAGAAGAGCCATTTGATAACATTAAACTTGGGATTTTTAAAATAATATTACACTTTTTAACAATAAAAATGTTTATAAAACAAAAATGTTATAAGATTTATTTATAAAATTATTATCGTTATACAAATTTTAACATCTAATATTTCTAAACAAGTCATCAACCGCAATTAGAGCTCTCTTAGTGAAACTATTAAAGGTATTATTGTTAGTAAACCATATTTTGAAGACAAAGACAATGGAATATCGCATGATATTTATTATAAGAGATAACTAGCAGTAAGCAACCCGTAATACGCGTTGTTAGTAAATAAAATTAAAAAAAAACCCGCGTATAGAAAAGTCTAGAAACTACTTTAAATTAGAAAAGCCTAGAAAATGACATAATTCGACTAATAATATTAAATTAGCGTATTAATATTATCAGATAACAATAATAAAAATGATATAGTTTTTAAACACTTTTTTCTGGTTTTCGAAAAATATCAATTTTGGACTAATAAGGAACGCTTCGGATTTTATTTTCAAAACATTTACATATTAATAGAATCGTACCTATAGATATTAATAGAATCTGAAGAAAAACTTCATGCCTTTTGAAATTCAACCTAAAACTTTCAGAATCAAGCAGTGTCTAGTGAGATTTTCAAGAAAATTTTAAGTTTGCATGTGCTTTTAATTATATATTTCAGTTAAACGTTTTATTTCATGAATTTCAGTTGCCTTTAAAAGTTAGGTTATTTCACAGATAAAAATTAAATCATCACATACTTGCATTATGATGGCTGCATATTATAAAACTTTTACATAACTTTTGTAAAACATAAAATCTTACTACAACTACAACAAAAACCAATAGGAACAATCCAACAAGCAATCCAATTACCAAATGGGAACCTTAAAAACATAAATATAAAATAATAATAATAATAGAGGAATTATAATATTAATTTAAAAAAAGTAAGTAATAATTAAAAACACACATAAATAAAAAAGGTTAAATTAAAAACACATAAAAAATTGCTTTTATTTCATGACATGTAATTCTAGAAAAATTTTAAATTTTTAAAAACTTTTATTTACCTATATCATTTAAAAAAAAAACAATAAATTACAGTAAGGTGAAATAGTAGCAAACATTTCATTTCAACATTTCTGTCGTACAACATCTAAATGTCATACAGTAACACAAAATGATACCAATAAATAACATTTTCAGATTATAATATTACACATTGGCGTTATGCAATATATGCAACAAAGAAGCACATTTGTAAAAATCTAATAGATAGATGATGATCACTGTTTTAACCATGGGTGTGTTTTTGAAAGTGACAACATTTCTTGAATGTAAATTCTAGAACCTTTTGCATAACTTGCATATCCTGATGTTGCAAAAAGATTTTTTGTATAGAGTGAATATGAATTAACCAGTAACAAGTTACAGAACTTTTGCTATACTAATATATTCATACTGAATCCATAATTGAAATGTCCTTAATTTTTTCATTTTAATTTCCATATATTTATTGTTTGCATTCTCCATAAATCGGTAGTTTTTATTTTTAAGGAACTCAATAAGTTTATTGTTATCTAAAGAATTACTCATACCTTTTAAGTAAATGTTTTCAAATTCAGAAAAATTTATTTCATAAACAACTACTATATCATTTAAAAGCAAATTGAACAATGCACTGTAAGCTAAAAATTTATATGTGCCCATAGAAATCTAGATACTGAATTTCCTGACATATTGTGAGCTACACTATTCTCAGTATCTCTTTAAGCCATGAATCATCCTTGGGCTGAGAATCCTCCAATACTACCAAAAAAACTCATTAGCAAATGAAATCTACCAAGTCTGAAAACTATATACAAATCCTGATCTTTGATTATACCAATTGCCTTCATTCATAATAGATATTCAAAAATTAGATTAAAAAAATTAGATTAAAAAGACGGTGTATGAAATCCTTTTTTTCTTGCTTCGCCTACTACAAAGAGAAAAGTAGCATATATACAAGTTTCATCCGTTGGATTCAGATTAATAAATGGAAGAAATATAACTGTTCCTTTTTTATATATATTGGAGGAGCTAGTTACATGCTGCATAAAGCTGGACAAATTGGGGCAGGGATCTTTTTTAGAATTGAAGAACCATGAATTTAACTATAACAAATTGTAATTCAATTCATTAGAAAGTGCTAACACTTGCGTATGCTCATGAATAGGTTTCAACTCTATCTTTAACAAACCATTATAACTTGATCCATTTAAAGAAGTTATGTTAACACCAACTTTATTTGCGAGATCTGATGCTCGTTTCGCTTTTCCAGACGCTTTATTGTAAAAAGAGGTGCTGTAGATGTGAAATTGAAATTAACTCCAAGAAGTTAGTAGTACAATTGCCTAAGAAGTAAGTGGTACAATTGCCGTTAAGAGTTATTATATAATGATCTACATTATTGGCAACAAATTCCAAAAACCTAATTTATTAGAAGAGTTATTTGCATTAACAGCTTTCGATTGCGGATTGCTTAAAAACCAATACTTCGTCTGATGAAACAGAATAAACAAATTTTGATAGCTGATCAATAAATCACTTTGAGGCTAACAACTTGTCTATGTCAACTCCTATCCCAAAAGGTATTGAAGCAATTATTGATCTTGGCCTAGATGCTTGTGCAATACATTGCCCAACTACTTTTAGATCTGAAGATATGATATGACCTAAAATAGAAGAAGGCTGTCCGGCACCATTTCTTTTCCATACTTTACATTTTCTAACCTATTTAGTGAAGGGTACAAAATTTTAAGCAAGATTTAGTGAAGGGTACGAAATTTAAAGCAACTCCCTTTTATTGCTTTTTATAATCTTTGCTAAAGCAAAAATAAGCTTAATAGGCTTATTAATAAAAATGACAGAAATTATTATTAAAAATGACAGTGTACAAATAATTTCAGCTATTTTTAACTTTTAGATATAAAAGTTCTTTAAATTTTACATTTACTAAGCTCTTTAGTTTTCTTTAAACTTTTTTCTTTAAAATATTTCATTGAAATGCAATCAAATTTTATTGAATCAAGTGATTTTGCAATAATAAAGTACAAACGTTTTCCCAATATAAACTATGTTGTTTATACAATTGTTATAGAGAATTCAATTGTTATTGATGATGTATTAAAAATAATTGGAAAGTTATTTTTGATAAAACTAGTTATTTTTTTTCCTATTTGCCTTGTTTTATGCCTAAATATGGAGTTTCCCATGACCTAAAATATGGGGCTTTTTTTTCCTCCTAATTTTTGACATGATTTTGGATCTCTGTAACAAGTTTTAGCTTTTTAATTTTAAATTAAATTTGTAAATTTCTATAGTAATAAACTGATAATATTTGTTCTGAAAATCTTACCAAGAACTAGTCCAAAAATTAAAAGTTTTTATTTACCTCAGCCTAAGTGAAGTTTTAAATGGCTTCATCAGAAGAAAAAAAGGTTCAAAAAATTCAGAAGCTATAAAAAATATCAAGAACTATTTTATCAGGAAATTAAATACTTAACTATACATTTACTACATAATAGATTATACATTTTAAAGAAAAAGTTTTCGACCTTTGTAAAATAAAAAAAGTATAATACTGTATAATATGTTTTTTAACATATAGTATAATATAAGATAAAATACTGGATCTTGTAAAATAATGAATAATCAAATGTATAAAATACCATTTGAAAGAACAATAGTGGGTTGGCTTCGACCTGCTGACATGCTAGCTAAAAGAATGAAAAACATTTTAAATCTTTATTATAATATCAGCTCTAACAATGTAAACTAAAAAATAAAATTATTAATTTATAACAACTTAATTTTTAATGTAAAAAAAAACTTACAAGCATTAAAATTAATAACAACCAAGTTTTTAATTATGCCATCTTGGCTTTCACTCCAAGGATCTGAAGCAAACACTTTAACATTATTAAAACCTTGAGCATCATTATTAATTTCAGAATGAACAACTTGTCCATTTACTTGTCCTTAACTCAATTTTTGACCATTTATTTAATTTAATTGGACTAGTCTTAAATATTCGATTTCACCATTAATTGGTGATGCAATGCGAAGTCCTCCATTACCATACTGATGAATCCGGATACCAGGAACACGATCACAATAATGTGCACCATTAAAATCAATGCTAAAATGAAAAACATTATGATAACCTGAAACAAACTTGTTGGGATTGAAATCAACTGACACTAAATATTCTTTTCCTAAGTTTGGCATTTCAGCAATAATTTTTCCTTTTAATATTTATATTTCCAATTAGGTATTCTAAAAAGAAAATTTAGAAATTTAAAATACCCATAACAATTTAATGACTAACAATCATAATAAATTATGTAAAAACTAAAAAAAACTAGTTTTACCAGATTTCCCATTGATAATAAGAAGGTCTGAAATCCATCCATCTTGTCCAGTTTCTCTAACATTGGAAGCATACACTTTCATGTTTTTGAAATCTCTAGCCAAAGAATTTTCAACTTTATGAATATTTACTCAATTGATATCAACAGCAAACCAATATTGGCCATCTATCATTGTTTGATGAATTTTTATATTGTACCATTGATCCATAAGAAGTGGAGTTGTTTCAATAAAATAGTTGGAATTACCGCTTATTGCAGAATAAATAACAAGCCTTCTTGATCCTTCTTCATGAAACCACACACCAGGACTTTTATCACCATAAGCTTCACTATTACCACTATTAGGTTAAATGGAGAATATTTTTAAAACCCTTAGAATAATTTACAAGCTTTAAATTAAACGACACTGTGTACTCCTTCTTCAAGATTTTAGGCGTTCCAAGAATAGCACCTTGAGTGACAGTTAATTCTTTTCCAAAGTTAATGTAATCTAAAATGGAATTTCACAATAAATGAGTCAATAATAAACAAAATTAATTATCTAGTGAAATTATTAAAATCATTGAATAAAAAATATAAATCACAAAATTTTTTATAGTAAAAATCAAAATTAAAATTTGAAAAAATAAAAAATAAATTAAATAAAAATACCGATGCTAAAATTAGTTCTATACTCACGAGTTGAGTTACAATTATGTTGTAACTTATATAGTTGCAATTATGTCAGTGTTTACAAATATTTTTATTTAACTAATTGAGTTATGTGATAATAGCTAATTTTCAACTGTAGAATAGTACCTAAAACAGTCATAAAATTTAACATTCTTTCTGTTAATACTTTACCTCTCTATCTGGTAGTATTTCAACTTTTTTTTTCCTATAAAGCATCTATCAAACATGAAGGATTTATGCTCTGTAAATTTTTTTTTTTTTAATTATCTTCTCTTCCAACAAGGCTGCAAGCAACCACTAATTGGTGTTGGAAGTTACTGGAAGAGAAAAGATGAAGATTGAAGAGCAAGATAACGATTGATTGTTATTTTCTTGCCTGCAAAATGGTTGTCTTATTATTTCAGAAGTAACATTTGAGGCAGAGAGGGAAAAAGTAAACTCGCCTCACCTCTAGTAAAGAGCCCTCCAATGCCTCAAATCAGTGACCATTTACAATGGGGAAGTAAATTTATAAAAAAAAACTTGTGAAAAAAGTAATTTAATTAAACTTATGTTCTGAAAACAAAAGAAGTTAATATTTTTCTAATAGTGTTCTTATTTTTAGTTTAGAATTTTCAAACTTTTAAAGATAAATTTTTTTTAATAAATTTTTTGTTCTATTAATCTCTTGAATAAAAATAAAAAAATTGTTTTATTTAAATACCTGAAGAAAGAACAATTACAGGTTGCATTTCTTTATCTAAAAAAAAAATTATATCATTAACTATTATACACAAATATAATAATATATATTTTTTAATAATATATAATAGTTTTTTTTTAATTATTAGATTTCTTATAATACATATATATTTTTTGTTCATGTTATTTCACTTCCCAAGGCTGAAAAGGCCACTACAGTTGAAGAGGCTACTTAAGTTGCAGTTAAACTTCTCTCAACCCTTTAACTCTGAAACACAAACCTTGACAAAGAAGGTTGCTGTGCAGAGCGCTCTACTACAGCTGAGCGCTCGACACCACTACAGCATTAATCAGAAGTATTTTGGTTATTAATTATTGGATCCGATGTCCAATCGGATTTGTTAAAAGTCATTGTAATACAAATAAAAATATAAAATTTTTTTAGTTTGAGTTGGGAAAGCAGTATAGTACCAAAAATTACCAGAAAAAATGGGAAAAAAACTCATTTTAATGATTAAGATTGAAACAATGATATTCTGATTAATTTTGAAAGTATTTATTTCAAAATTCACAAATGTAAATCATATGTAAATCATTATCGAAAACAGGGAAAGCAGAACAAAATTTATTAAAACTATTTTTAAAAATTTTCTGTAATAACTTGAAGATTTGAACCTTTTTCTGAAGAAAATAGTTTCAATAAATTTTTGTAAGAACTTAGAATTAAACCTTTGTTTTTAAGAAATTAAATCTAAATTAAATTTTATTGTTGGGAACCATGGTTGTTTGTTGGAACCATGGTTGTTTTACCTTATTAAAAATCTTAGTCATAAAAATAATGAAATCGTTTTCATAATGCAAATTATTTAAAGTTGAAAATACAAACTTATTGTAGTTATTTTAATAAAAGTAAAAAAAGTATTTTTTTAATTTTCATTTGGAAATTACTTTTAAAATCAAAAAATGTTTTTCGAAGTTTACCAACTGAATAAAAAATAAAAATTTATAATATACAGACATTAAATATTATATTTTACAAAAATAAAAATATTATTCTATTAAAAAAAAAGTTAAAAAAAGTACGAATTTAAATAAAAATTAAACCAAAAGAGTGTAAATAAAAAAAATTATTGGAATCTCCATTAATGATAAAAAAGTTTTTTATTGAGCCATCCTGAGCTTGACTCCATGGATCAGAAGCGTGTATTTTGACATCATTAAATGTTTGAGGCCTGTAGTTTATTTCAGAAAAAACTAATTCTTCATTGATTTTTATTGTGTAGACATAATTTGATTTATCTAAAACTTGACTCACTTCAATATTTGTCCACATATTTAATAAAATTGGAGTGGTATCAACAAATTGATTTGTGTCACCATCAATTGGCACCACAATATGAATTCGCCCACTACCATCTTCATGAAACCACACACCAGGTATTCTATCACCATAATTATTCATATCAGAGCCAGTAGCAAAATGTAAAACACTTTGAAGACCAAAATCAAATTTAATAGCATTAATATCAAACGAAATAAAATGATCTTTATCTAATGTTAATATTTCTCCTATCATATTTTCCTTTATTAATGGAGTGATGACATTTCCAATAAGGTAATCTGCAATATAAAATAATGCATGTGTATATATATATATATATATATATATATATATATATATATATATATATATATATATATATATATATATATATATATGTATATATATATATATATATATATATATATATATATATATATATATATATATATATGTATATATATATATATATATATATATATATATATATATATATATATATATATATATATATATATATTTATATTAGGTGTGACATTCGCCCCCTATATTCTAGAAAAAAACTGTTCATATTCTTAAAACCTTCTATTGGTTTTCACAAGCAACTTTATTAAATTTTTTCTAATTTTTATTGGATTTAGGGGGAGCACCAGACTCTTGAACACCAGGTCCTTATTATTATATAAAAATAAGTTTTTCAAAAGTCATGTTGCTGTCATGTTGGGTCTCAAAAGAAGTGAAATTATATAAAAATTTAAAAAATAACAACCATTTTATAAAAAAGTTATTATTTTGGTTATTACTTTGGGTTAAAAAAAGTTATTACTTTTTTTAACCTAAAGATAAAAAAAGTGTATTTTTTTTTATAACTATTAAAAAAAAGTATTTTAAATCCAATAAAAATTTGAAAAATTTACTAAAATTGCTTGTGAGAACCAATAAAAGGTTTTAAGAATATGAACAGATCTTTTTTTTAGAAAATAGGGGGCAGTCACACCCTAATATATATTTATTATATGTATATATATATATATATATATATATATATATATATATATATATATATATATATATATATATATATATATATATATATATATATATATATATATATATATATATATATATATATATATATATATATTAATTTATAAAAATAAAGAAAACAACTTTTTTATGGTACTAATAGTTTCATGCCTAAAGGCAATCATCAGCCATGTAATACAAAACAAGAAACAAAAAAAACCGTTAAAATATAAAGTTACAGTGGAGTGTGCTCCGTCGTCAAAACAAAACAAAAACAAAAAACTAAAAACGGCTGCCTAATCACCCGTATCGAAATTCGAAAGGAGAAACTTGCTTTTATGTCTACATTTAGATACTAATTCATTCCTCTTATTTAATAAGTTATCATAGGTGTACGATATTGTGAAATACTTTTCGTATAGACATAAGTTGCATCGTTTTATTGTGGGATTGTAAGATCTACAACGTTTTAAAATTTTCCATTTAATTGTCGGGTTTAATAATCCATTTTCTTTTAACTTTCATACTTCCTTAGACAACTCAGTATCGTTTTTATATTTTTCGATCTTAAAAGATTTTGTATGATTAGCGTATCTAAGTTTAAAAGCAGTTTCATATATATATATATATATATATATATATATATATATATATATATATATATATATATATATATATATATATATATATATATATATATATATATATATATATATATATATATATATATATATATATATATATATATATATATTCATATATATATATATATATGAGACATAATATAAATATAACATGTGTTAAACAAAAAAAAAAAAAAGTAAGGCTTGCAATCATGTAGATGTCGTAAGATACAAGTGTAATGGTATGACTAAAAGTATAATAAATTATATATTAAAGAAATTAAAATCAAATTATATTTTAAATACTAAAAAAAAAATATATATATATATATATATTTTAAACCTCTTTGTTTCCAACAAGGCTGCAAGCAGGGATGCAGAGTTCCAAAAAGGACCCCAGATTTAAAATTCACAAAAAGATTACTTTTTGAAATGTGAAACAAAAATTAGCCAAAAATCAACAAAAAAAATACAAAAACTATAAAAAACAATTATACAAAACTCTAAGCCAAACTTCTTAATAACTTTAAATAAGTAAAAGTAAAATATAGCTGTACTGAAAAAAATAAGTTCTTTAACCTCATTAAGTTTATATTGGATTATCAGAATTTAAATGGAAAGCAAAAAACAGCAATTTTTCATTCAAAAGCTAACAAAAATTTATCTCCTTCAAATGTTCCTAAAATTTGCACGCAGCTATTCTAAAGCCTGCACATAATTCTAATACCATTGTGTCAAAAGTCAAAAACTTGGAGCTAGTCCTCACAACAAAAATTTAACTTTTAAATTTTTCAATATCTTAGACATATTGTCAATTTTGTTACTTGTTTTCTAAACAATCTAAATCACATACCTTCACTCCATTTTAATTTTGTCTCTTGCGCACAGTTTCTTCTTGTCATTCTCTAGGTGGTGCAGGTAATCCTATAATGTCATTAAAACTTCTTCTTATAGTCTTATAAAACTGTGCTACTGACTACTACCTGTGATTCTTTTTGTGTTTTTTTTTGTGATGGTCCAAGGATTAGCTAGCTCAAATCTTTGAAATCCGTTTGGAAATATAGGATCCACAATTATGTTTTTTTTTGTCATGGTCCAAGGGATTAGCTAGCCTAAATCTTGGAAATCCAATTGAAAACCCAGATGATACTTTATCCTTTGGATAATGCCTAGGTTTTCCAGGATACAGGTTAGCTTAAAAATTTTTGTTTCTTTTGTCATTTTTAATTTAAGCCTCATTCTACCACATTCTACCACATTCTATGCCTCATTCTTTTTTTTCCTTTTGCTACTTTTAATTAGTTATTAAATATTAATTTTTAATAGTAATCATTTTATTTTCTACTTAAAAAACATCCAACTATCATTTTAAGAAACCAAACCAAAAAAATATTAACTATTGTTAAGGTCCAGACGATAAAACCTCAATTTTTATCACAAATATTTCAATAGCTAAAGACTAGTCTAATGTTCTATTTCTTGCATCTTTTTACCTCTTTAAATCTTTTTAGGAGGATTAAGCAAAGCTAAATTATGTAAAGCCTAATCAATTGTAAAACATCAAAACCATTTATTACATACGTTTTTTCTCACTAAAAACAAGGCAAACAAGGCAAACAAGGCAAACATAAGTCATTAAGCCTTTAATTAACTAAGTGTTTAAATCTCATAGTCAAACAGCTTGCCCTCTGACAGTTAAAAAAGGTTTTGATTCAGTCATCTTACTGCTGATTTGTTAACCATAATAATAAAAATGTTATATCATCAATTAGATTGAAGTGTTGAGACAAAGTTTTCTGCAATTTTCTGTTTTCTTGCTCTTTTACTCTTGTTGAATTTGTTAGAAAGTTTAATTAAATAGAGATGCAAAAAAATATGCAGTTATGTAGAATAGATAGAAAGTTAGATTATTTAAGTTATTTTATACCCAAAACTAAATGCACTTTCAAATTAAAAACTAAAAATTATATAAAATTCTAGTCAAAAAAAGTAAAAATTCAAGCATGCTGAAATTTTATGCACATCCTAACATACTTCATTTTTAATGCACATCCTAGCATACTTCATTGTTACAACTTTATTCTTAAATTATCAATATTTTTTTTGAAATGCAATTTAATAATTTAAATTTAATAAAATGTTTTATATCTTATGGTAAAGAATATTATTTACATTAAAAAAAAAAAATAATGCATACTATACATAACTCTCTCTAATATTTTAGAAAAACAATTAAGAATTGAGATTGGAGGATAATTTGCAACTTAAGAAGGATCACCTAATTTTAAAATTGTAATGATTTTTGCGATTTTTAGGTTTTATGGAAAAACACCATATTTTAAAGATAAATTAAAAATATGTAATAATGGAATTGTGATGTAGTAGTACTTGTAGTAGAAAAGTTGCTGCAACAGGTTTCCCTGTATAACCTACAGGTTTTGGCAGCCTTATCTACTTCATACACTAATTTTATTTATATCATTACATAAAAATTTACAATAAGACATATAGTATGAAGTGTAAGTTTTTTTTTTTTTTAGTTATATTCTCAATACTTTTGCGGATTATTTAAAATTTCTGCATCAAGCTTAGCCTTGAAACTTTTAACTCATGAAGCGCATACAACTTCTGACGGCAATGCACTCCAATGGTTTACTCGATTAGTAAAAAACTGATGCCTTTGCTCTCAATTTTGAACATATTCTTTAGTCATTTTTAGATGATGTCCTCTAGTTTTTATTTTATTTGACTCCCCAACACAAAGGACATGGGGTTCACTCCATGAGACAATGTCTATATGGTTTTTAATTTTATAGGCCTGTATCAGATCTCCCCTAATGCAATGGGTTTCTAAAGACGTTAAGTTTAGTATATTTAGAAGATCTTTGAATGACATATGACGGTACGAAGGTATTAAACGGGTAGCTCTTCTTTGTACTTTCTCAATTTTGTCAATATCTGTTCTTGATGATGAATTGCTGGCTGCTACCGAAAATTCTAGATGAGATCGTACAAAGGTTGTATATAGAATTTTAAGTAGTTGTGGAGTCGTGTGACTGAAAGTACGATACAACATGCCTAATACACGACAAGCTTTATTGGTTACAAAAGCTGAATTGTTATGCCGTTTTAAGTCAGGCGTAATCATGATGCCTGAATCACGTTTGACTAAAGTCGATGCTAGTTCGACACTTATTGTTATTAGCTGGCATTGAGTAGAGATAAAAGTTTTTTTTACCTATGTGCATGATTTTACATTTAGCGAGATTTTTAAGTTTCATTTTCCAGGTTTTACACCAATCAGCTATGTTGTAGATATCAGTTTGAAGCATTTGTGAAGCTAATGGGTGGTCTAAATGGGCCAGCATTTTAGTGTCATCAGCATACATTTTGCATGGATGGTTAACAATATCGGGTATATCGTTCACAAAAATGATAAAAAAGTATTGGACCTAATACGGATCCTTGAGGGACGCCACTAAATACCTCAAGCCACAAGGAAACATAATTGCCCATCACGATTTGTTAAAAACGCTACTGTAAAAACGATTTCATCCAATTCAGGAGATTTCCAGTAGAACCATATGCCTCAAGTTTGTAAATTAGTCTCTTGTGGGGAACCATATCGAATGCTTTACCGAAATCTATAAAAGCTACGTCCATAGATATCTTGTCAGACAATGCTTTTGACATCATGTCTATCGACTCCAACAAATTAGTCACACAAGCTTTTTTTTTGACAAAACCATGTTGATTTTTTAAAATAAGGCTATGTTCGACTAAATAATTGACCATAGTGTCACGTAATATTTTTTCCATCACTTTACATACAACTGATGTTAAGGATATAATTGCCTTGGTTGAGTCTACTTCTGTTTTTAAACAGTGGTGTTACATTAGCTTTTTTCCATACTTCAGGAAAACACCCACTATCTAGCGACATCTGAAAAATTGCGCTAAAATGTACTGAGAAGCTGTCAGAATAGTTTTTCAGTACATATGCGCTTACACCATCCAAACCATCGGTTTTGTCCACTGATAAATCGCTAAGCTTGTTTTTAACCTGATCTTGCGTTATTTGCGAGTATTTGCAGATGGCTTCAGTTCGTTTTATAAAATATGGCAGTTCATCGTCTTCATTTTTGTTGAAAACACATTGAAAGTGATTGTTCAGCCGATTTGTAAATTCTATTGGATTTGTGATAGTGTCGCCATTGATTCCTTTTAAGGCTGTTACTGTAGTTCTAACATTTTGTTTGCTATTAACATACTTGAACAGGATCTTTGGGTTGTGCTTCGATTTTATCGCTAAATCAAGTTCAAACTCACAACGAGTTTTATACATGAGCCCCTCTAATTAAATATTAAACGCTTTGTATTCGTTGACTAGTTTAATATTTTTACATTCATTCGCTCTACATCAAAACTATAGTTTATTTTTAGCTTTTATTTTATACTTGATGTCATCGTTCATCCATTCGCTTCTACGACGAATCTTTTTTGAATTAGTCAGTGGGACATAATTTTTGAATGCAGCCTCGTAGTAGTTCAGGAAAATGTTATAACAGTCATCAGTATTGCGTCCATTGCATTCCATCTGCCAGTTGATATTGTTAAAATATTCGGATATCTTTACAAAGTTACTTTTATGATAAATGCGTTTTTCAATGGGTTTTTCTACAACTGCAACGCTTTTAACAACGTAATTCCATTGAAGAACGTGGTGAGATTTCTTCAGAGACGTTAAAGGTGCATGGTGAATAATATCGAGGACCCGATTTTCATTTTTGGCTATAATTAGATCAAGAGTATTGTTCGATGTAATTTCATCAAGTTGAAAAGTGGGCTTAGTAACAAATTATATCAAAAACGACTCAGCGAGAATGTCAATAAAATCACTTAAAAGGGCATCTGTGTTGCTGACAGTTGGGATACTGCTCGAATCCCAGTTAATCCCTGGCAAATTAAAGTCTTCACAAATCAACAAGCCGCTGTATAGATTAGTCAGAAGTTCATTTGCTTTAATAATGGACGCTTCAATATTCTCAAGTGGATCTAGCATGTGTGGCCTGTATATGCAACCCAGAAAGATGTGTTCGGAACCGTACGATATTTCGCACCAAATTTGTTCAGGGGAATCTAATAAAACAATTTCGCTTACTTCATTAGGTTTTAATGAAGTATCGACATAAATAGCCACCCCACCTTCTCTACTAAACACGCAATCTTTTCTGAATAACATATAGTTTTCAATGTTAGTTATCGATGATTCATGCCACCAAGTTTCTGTAACGAAGATTATTTTAGGGTTGTATGTCTCAATTGATGCTAGAAACTCTGGCATTTTATTGTTAAGAGATGTAACATTGGTATAACAGCATGGTAATTTTTGATATGTATTTGATCGATTTAATAACAACATTACTGTTATAACCTAATAGCAAAAATAACACCACTTAATAAAATAACAACTCTTTGTAATAACTCAATATGTAATTTATTTATAACACCACACTACAAGTAAAGTTTTTGTATCTCTATATAACATCCCAACCTTTTGAAAACTCGCTTGCATGTTTCTTTATTCTACGTAACCGTGAACCGGATTACGCAATTACATCAATTACTACTTCTAGCATCGAAACCTACGCTTTTATTGGGTTTTAACAAAGAGAATGCGTCTAATAATTCTTTTTCCGTAAGTTTAGGATTAGACATAACACTAATGTTGTTTAAGGTAACGTAAGACTTAAAGTGTGTTTGAGAAGTTGCTATATTTGTAGATAAAATAGGACCAATATTTACAAAAAATTGGTTAAGTGTTTCAGCCACTATAGATTTATTTACAATACAACTGTTATTAACTTTAAGATTATTTGGAAATAAATTTCCGTATAAACGTTTTTTACCAATTACCTCCTTTACAATTTGTCGTGTTTTTTTCGAATCATTTTTGTGTTTAATTAATTGCAGGGCCTTCGAGAGGGAGGAGGGCAAAGGTGGCAAATTGACTCGGGCGCCAAGCTTGGCGCCGGACAATTTTTTTTTTTTTTTTTATCGATAAATAGAAAACATTTTAATGATTGACAATGTAAAATCTGCTTAGTTTTTGTATTTAAAATTGAAACTTTTATAATTGGAATAAAAATGCACAAAAATTTAATTTTAATTCTTTTATTATAATTAATTTATAAACTATTTTTGATGAACAAAATAGGGTTTAGTTGTAGTTGACTTAGACAGAACCGGGTTGAGTTAGACAGTTGAATTAGACAGAACTTGAATTTTAAGTCACGTTTTTATTGTTTTGAGAAAAACACAAAAAACTAATTGTCCGGCGAAAATTTTACTAATATCTATAATATATACAGGGCAGCGCAGTAGGTATCACGTGGGGTGGTGGTGGTGGTGGTGGTGCCATTACAACTTTTGCCAACTAAAAAAAAAGAAAGACTAAGGGTCTTATTATATATATGTATATATATATATATATATATATATATATATATATATATATATATATATATATATATACATATATATATATATATATATATATATATATATATATATATATATATATATATATATATATATATATATATATATATATATATATATATATATATATATATATATATATATATATATATATATATATATACACACATATATATATATAGCTGAAAAGCTAAACAGTTTTTTTCTTGAGATTGGTCCAAATCTGGCGGCTAAAATTCCATCTAGTACCATAAAATTTGAAACATACCTCAAAACAGCAAATAATGTTATGACAGAACTAAATTTAAATATAAGTGAGTTGCATAATGCCTTTTGCTCTCTGAAAAATAACAAAAGTGCAGGCATAGATAAAATTAGCGTCAATGTAGTTAAATCAGTCTTTGATATTATTGAACCCTTATTGTTTTACATTTTTAATCTCTCATTAACGTCTGGTGTTGTACCAGACAAACTTAAAATAGCTAAAATCACACCGATTTTTAAGTCAGGTGAAAAAACAAATGTTTCAAACTATAGACCTATTTCTGTATTACCTTGTTTCTCTAAATTGCTAGAACGCATTATGTACAATAGGCTTTATAATCATCTAGTATCAAATAATATTCTGTACAACAAACAATTTGGGTTTAAAAAAAATCATTCTACGGATCACGCGGTAATTGAGCTTGTAAACCATATATCGGATGCTTTTGATAAAGATTATTTTACCTTAGGAGTTTTCATTGATTTATCCAAAGCATTTGACACTGTCAATCATGAAATCCTTATAAAAAAATTAAAACTTTATGGAGTAAACAACTTAAACTTACTTTGGTTTAAAAACTACTTGACTAACAGAAAACAATGCATAACCTATGAAACAAATGAAACCAAAAAAAAGCTTATAAATTGCGGGGTTCCTCAAGGATCTATCTTAGGACCATTATTGTTTCTAGTATATATAAACGACTTATTTTTAGCATCTAAAAAATTATACCTTATATTGTTTGCTGACGATTCCAATCTGTTTTATTCACACAGAGATATAAAAATTCTCTTTAAAATTTTTAATGAAGAATTATATAAAGTAAATGAATGGTTTGTAAGTAACCGCCTTTCACTAAATGTAGATAAAACTAAATTCATCCTGTTCTACAAACCAAATAAAGTTGATAAAATTCCACTTAAACTGCCAAATCTTTTATTCAATAAAACAGATGTAAAAAGGGAATCTACTGTTAATTTTTTAGGCGTAATTCTTGATGAAAATTTGTCATGGAAGTTTCACATCCAATCTATTGAAAGTAAAATCTCTTATAATATTTCCGTACTTTATAAAACAAAACCATTTTTAAACGCAAAAGCTCTAATAAAAATATATTTTTCATTTATTCACAGCTATCTTTCGTACTGCAACATTGCATGGGGAAGTACGAATTACGGAAAACTCAAAAAACTTTATAGTAAACAAAAGCATGCTTGTAGGATTGTATTTGGGGCAAACAGAACTGTTTATTGCGAACCACTATTAAATCGTCTCAAGGCCTTAAATATTTATAAACTAAACATTTACCAAACATTACTTTTCATGTTTAAAATGAAACATGGAATATCTCCACTTATATTTCAATCTTATTTTAGCGAAATATCTCATATCCAACAAGTTTTCAGAGGATAACTTTATTGTTTCGAGAATAAATTTAAAAATAAGTTCTTATCAAATTAAATATCGAGGACCTTTTTTATGGAAAAATTTTATTAAAAACTTTAATAAAGAACACTACTCTTTAGAAAAATTTAAAGCAGTTTCTAAAAGAATCTTACTTCAATTAGATTTTAATTCAATAGACTTTAAGTATTTTTATTAAAAAGGAAATTTTAAAATAGAAACAAACGCTCCCATTATCATTAAGTATATTTTGTTATATGTATCAAATATATTTGTATTAGTAAACAAAACTTTCTTTACTTTTAAATTTTAATATAAATGTCATTTTATTATTTGACAAAAGTTATGTACTCTTTAACGTTTTTTTGTATATTCTATTTATATTTGTTTATAAACACGGGCAATTAGTAAACGGGGCTCGGCGATAAGACAGTCATTGTCTTCTTCTTGCTCCGGCCAATTTTTATAAATGTAATATGTCTATATTGTAAATATATAAAACGGCAAAAAAAAAAAAAAAAAAAAAAAAAAAAAAAAAATATATATATATACATATATATATATATATATATATATATATATATATATATATATATATATATATATATATATATATATATATATATATATATATATATATATATATATATATATATATATATATATATATATATATATATATATATATATATATATATACATAAGATAACTAGCCTTAAAAGCATGAGACTGGCGAGATCGGCTAGAATAATAGTAGGGCCCTGTGAATCACCTTTTTTATTCGAATCACTATTCGAAGCAGGTTTTGATTTGTAAATCGAACTGAACCACGAGTCCAATTAGGATTTTTGAGAAATATAAATTTAACTAAAAATAGGTCTCCTCAAAATGCTATTTTGATTCGAGATTCGACTCTATTTGCGAATCAAAGCCTGCTTCGATTCGTGATTTGATTCGATACCAAAAAAGGTGATTCGTAGGGCCCTAGGTAATATGTTCTGTGATAAGACTGTAAGGACTTTTTAAACACTTAAAAAACTAATAAAACCCCATAGTTTTTGCTTTAAATTTTATTTTTTGTGGTTGCCAAGTTAGGAAAGGAAAAAAAACAAAAAGAAAAGCAAGCTTATATTTTGTTTACAAAGGAGTGTCTCTTAGGAGTTGATGTAACGGTC